GAATAAAACACAATCTGAAATAGGTGTATGGAAAATAGAGATTTCGGTATTGAAACCGTTAAGTGGAGGAGGAAGCAAAAAATTAAGTTAAAGAGTGCGTCGCACCAACCTAACTGGAATACGCAAATGCGAAACTCCACATTCGCTGACAAGCCAATTAAGGCATGCAGCAGACAGTCAATGCTAAACGCACCTCAGGAACAAAATGAAAAATTATGAAAGCTGAAACAGGAGGCAGGGATGAAGGTAGCTGAAATAAAATAATAGAACGTAGAATAAAACACAATCTGAAATAGACGTATGGAAAATAGAGATTTCGGTATTGAAACCTGTAACTGAAAAAAGAAAGATAAAAATGTAGATGTTGAAACCGGTATAAAAAAATAAAAAAATAAAGAAATGTCGGTTTTCAAATCGGTATAAAAAAGGAAAAAAATAATAAGATCTGGAACTAACGTAAAGTAAACGTGTAGAAAGTGAATGAAACAAAACCTGAAATAAAATGAGAAGACGTATGGTAAATTTCGTATTGATATTGGTAAGGATAAAAATGATAAAGATTTCGGTATTTAAACCGCTAACTGAACAGAGAAAAAAGATATAAATGTCGGTGTACAAACCGGTTTGAAAAATAATGAAATGTTGGTGTTCAAACGGATATAAAAAAAAGAAAAAGGTATAGAAATGTCTGTGTTGAACCGTTAATTAAAACGAGTAAAATGGGTTAAAATTGAAAATTTGAAATTGATATAGAATTAAATGTAGAAAACTCTGGTATTCATACTGGTATGAAAAAGAAAAAAGCTGACTCGAAAGGGTGTTTGAGTTTTCTCAATTGTTTCCCTGAACGATATCGCCTTTCCCTCACGGTACTTGTTCACTATATGATGTGGTGACATTTAGCCTTAGATGGAATTTACCACCATTAGAGCTGCATTTTCATGCAAACTCGACTCATTAGAGAGACTTGACCTTAGAGATCGGTTCCTCTCGAACACTACATTTCCCTTGGGGATTCAGTGCCGGGCTGTTCCCTGTTCGCTCGCCGCTACTGAGGGAATCCTTTTTAGTTTCTTGTCTAAAGACAACTGCCTTGTTGAGGTCGTCATACGTTCTTTGTGGAACGCACTTGAATTGTATCGACGAGGAACCTTCGAATCGCCCATTGCTGGACTGGTTCACACGTTCAATAAATTATTTAAGAGCACGCGCATTTAAAATGCACGAAACTCCATCATTCGCTGACAAACCAATTAAGGGATGCAGCAGTCTGGTAAGTGAAACGACACTCAGGCAGCAGTCGGTCCGGGAACATTATCCTCTGACCTCAATTTGCGTTCGATATGTCGATTTTTTCATCGACCCACATCATGTCAAGTGATCCATCGTTCAGGGCATTCGTTGAGACCTGAAATAACGCAAAACCCCACCAGACGTTGGCGAGCCGCGACAGAAGCGACGCATTACAGGCAAGCACCTGTCCGGTAAAGTAAAACGATTATTCAGGCAGCAGAAGGGAAAAAATCACAAACACAAATGCAAAACTCCACCAGACGCCGGCAAGCCGATTAGAGCAGAGCCCATTAAGGCAAACACTTGCCCGGTAAAGTAAAGCCAAGTGAAGTGAATGTCGGGCAGAAGAGAAAAACAATTCAGGAACTGAAATAGGCGGCAGAAATGAAATACATACAACAGTTCGGTGTTGAAACCGTTAATAATAGATGTGGAAATTTAGTACAATTTACTGATTAAAACAATGCAATAGCAATGAATAAAAGTTAGAAATATTTGATATTGAGTAAGTTGAAAAATAAACGAAATTCAAATATAAAAATTGGCTCAAATTATGTGGGTTGTTCTTGGTAACTTTTGGTTAGTTAGACCCCCCCACCGCGTTAAGGTGACAACCCATCGAGGGGGAATAAATACTTCATGAGGGACAAAGTGATGAAAGAAATTGCAATGATAGAAACTTTAGGCAATGACAATGACAAATTAGTTGACTATTTAGGAAAAGTTCAGGTATAGCCGAGATGGGGTTGGCGGCTACTAAATGGCGCTGATATATAAATGATGACAAAAGATTAACGAATATATAATAGATTCCAGTAGAAGTTGTAGAAACAACAAGAGACCATACATATACAGAAACTCGAATACAGAGACAAATAGTGTAATAGAGATTGTAGTTAGAGTTAAAAAAAAGTCATAGAGTGAGAATATATATTATATAACGAATAAAATGTTTTCGGATATCCATCCAATAATTGAAAGAATTAAATAAGAGAAATGTAAATTTTCATTATAATAGCATAAGTTTCGAATATCAATTTGACTAATCTTTACTGCATACAAATAATCAATTCAAAACTCAAAAACAAGAACACTAATTAATATAACACGTATAGTTATTTATGAAAAAAACATACAATATTAAAATAAAATTAAAATAATATATATAAAGATACTTGTGATCGTATCATGGTAAATGTTTGAATCAAATTTTCAAATGTTTTCAAAAGTTTGATTCAAATGTTTGCAATGATTTGGTCACAAGTACTTTCATAAATTTTATTTAATTTATTTGAATACTGATTTTTTTTATATATATATATAACTATGTATTATATTAATCAGTGTTCTCATCACCCCTTTGTTTTGATTTGATTATTTGTATGCATTGAAGATGTGTCAAATCGAAACTCGAAACCTATTCTATTATAATAAAGATTTACATTTTTCATTATTGAATTCTCTAAATTGTTGCAAAAAATGCCCAAAAACCTTTCATCGTATATCTTTAAATACCTGAAAACACATGTGTGTATATATACATACATATATACATATATATATATATATATACATATAAACATAAATAAATACATAAGCATATACATAAAAATGATAAAAACTAAATAAAAATATCCTAGCTATTTCAATGTAAATAAAACAAATTCAACAAGTAACAATGCCACACGATCGAATGAAGAACTCTCTGCAACATCGAAATAAATAAAAACCAAAAACGCCAAAAAGAAACCAACCAAAAAATGACAAAAACAAGAAAATAATTGCACATCAGCCCTACATAAAAATCATCGTCATAGGCTATGAAAATTATTTATTTATTTCAGTGAAAAAATAAATAATATAACTTCCATAAGTTGATAATAAAAAAAATCCTACCTTTGCAGCATCTTCGCCCATTCTCTTCAATATTATAAATATCTGCAAAATCTGCATCTCTCTGCAAACTAGAAGTGATGTGGGCTCGAAGTGATAAGATCATATCAAAGTGATAAGATCATATCAAAATCTGAAAATAATGAAAAATATAACATTAGATTTGATGGAAAATAATAACTATTTATATATTTATTATAATTTTATATTAATTAAGTCATATAAAATAATAAATAGATGATGGAATTATGTCATTATATCTTTATTTTAAAAAAAATTTCATCTAGATGATATGAAATAATTCCATTTTATATTTATTGTTTTATGTAACTTGAAAATAATATGTAAAAAAATATAAGTATAATTATTGAATAAATAGGTATTTATAATTATTGAATAAATAATAATTTAAGTATTTAAATCAATTATCATTGGTTTGCAGATGAACTAAAGTTAGCAACGGACGCCATCTTGTTTTGCAAATGCGCCGCTAGATGGCTTGTTAATAGTTTGCAGAAAATTTGCAAATAATAAATATTAATAACAATATGAAATTTTATACGAAAATGAATCAAATTTGTGAAATACAAATGATTTATATTGGGTTTTAGCGTTGCAAATATGATTGTAATGTTAAAAAGGCGTTTCAAACTTTGGTCAATTGACAGTTGACGCCGTTTTGTTTTGGTTCAATACCGAAGAATTTTTCGTTGCTTTTTTGCAAAAAAATAACTGTACAGGTGCAGTTTTTTAATGTAAATGGATACATTAGGTCAAAGTTTATTGAATTTTCATCAATAATACGCCGTGAAAACGGTTATATTATTTAAAACAGGACAAAACCACCGTTGGTGATTATGGCCGCCATCTTGGATTTTGCAAATGTCACAAAATTTGAATAGCGAAAAAACGCAAAAATCTCAATAAATATTATGTAAAAGTGTAATAATAATAAATAATATGTGATAAATTTATTGCAAATCAACAACAAAGCACGCCTACGATATTTTTACAGATGTAAACATTGTTCACAAATCAGTACCAGACGGTGTCACTTGTTGTGCGAATAAAACTTAATAATTAAGCAAAATTATAAAGAATAAAAGTTCTTACCTTTTATATGTGTAAACTGCATACCGGAACACACTTTATAACACTTTATAAACACTACTTGGTTGTAAAATAATTATTGTTCATTTTGATCACTTATTGTACTTGCACTACGAGATGTTCACTGTTCGGGAGCTGACGCACTAATGAGCTGCGCGCTAATTAGCACCGCCTTATATATGCTGCTTGGAGGCTACTCGCGGAGGCGCTCCCGTGGGTGAAAGAGCCTCCGGAAGAAAACATAACCCCTGTCTCAAACTTGTTAATTATTGGGATTTAAATCAAACTTCATGAGTAAAACCTCATATATATGTTGAAAACTATAAAAAACTTAATTACAATCACTAATTAAGCTCTATTCGTTAGTAATTAACTCACTAATTAAGCACTATTCGTTAGTAATTAATCACTGCACAACAATCAATTGTATGGATTCAAAGTAAACAGAAACAAGCAATTTTAAATAAATTCGTTAAAACCACACAATGACACTATGTAAAAATGATTAAAAACAATATGCTTGGCACAATAACTTTGCAATACAATTTTGGCAACCGATTTCCACACATTTTTTTACAAATTTGAATTTGTATAAATATATAACCACAAAATTTTTGTTATTCTTTCAGTTTTAAACGTCAAAATTAAATTCATGTAAACTAATAGCAGTGAAGTGTGCCACATAATTGAAACTATGCGAAACATCTTATTCTTTATTGTGTTCGTATCAAAACTGCAAATATTTCAATAAATACATCAGGATATGATAAATACCGATTAAAATGTAAGTATAAACTGCTAAAACTTTATTGTAATAATATTTATATAAACTTTGTGTAAACTTGTGTAATTGTTTTTCACAAGTCTTATCAGTCAAATGTCATGTCAGTTCAACTACCATTTTTATTAAAAATGCTGTATTTATTGATGAATTGTGTTCAATTACCTGCAATAGTACAGAAATCTGTTACATTAATACAGTGACTATATTAACAATTACTTAATTCATCTGAAAACATTTTGTATATATTAGACCCTACAGTAAGACAACTGAAGGTTTCTCTATATTTGCATAATTATTAATAATAAGAATAACTACACAGAATGTATAATCAAATCATGATTGTTTAGGGTGTAATGGAGGATTTGTGGAGATATTTGGATTACTCTACTCATTCAAGACAATATAACCTTGTTGTGGAAATGACGAAGCGCACACTTTTAAATGCAAATAAAATGTATAATAAATATATAAATAAATTGTGCACTTTAAGATGACTGCCTGTATATACTAAATTATATTCTAACACTTTACTCAAGTTTATTATGATTTTATCAATCAGTCAGGAGAAATATCATAAGAGGTAATTATTCTCGATTGTTAACCTAATTTATTAATGTTGCACAGAATTTTAGTTGGAAAATAATCACAAATCAAGTCGACTTTTATCTGTAATGCAACTATCGGTTTCTCTATATTTATATAATTAGAACGGCTACACAGTAAATGTATAATCAAATTATGATTCTTTAGGTTTTAATGAGGATTTGTGGACATATTTGGATTAATCTACTCAATCAGGACAATATAACCTTGTTATAAAGATGACGAAGAGCACACATTGCAATCGCAAATAAAATGGATACTAAGTTCACTTAAAGATGACTGCCTGAACATAATGGATTATATTCTAATACTTACAGATACTTTCCTCAATTTCAAAAATTTAGTTTGGTATGATAATTTCCAGCAATTTGCCTTAAGGCACGATGCCATACACCACTAATTTTTAATGAAAACTGATATCACTAATGCTAGATATCAGTTGAGCCTAGTGTAGGATTAGAACTTGAACCTTTATGGTTGCAAGGCCATGGTTCTTACTACTGCACTATGCAATTTCAAATAAAATATAAGAAGTTTATAAAAAGAACGATGATTCATAAATATACATTACCTTTGTATATATTTATAAATATTTGTATCAAATTTGCACAGATACATTTGCACAGCAGGATCAAATATTTCGAATAGATACTATAATTCAAAAGGTAATATATAATTGTCGTTTTTATGAAAATTATTATTAAAAATAAATTTTTCATTGCCGTTTATTGATGTTTCGCTCCGGGGAACATGTGTCATATTTGTGATCATGGACAACTTTTTTCATCATTTTTTGCTGGCATTGGTCTAAAGTTGTTTGAATTTGCTTATTGAAATATTTTGAAAATATAGTTCTGTATATAAATATACAGTTATAAATAAAAAAGTTTTTTAACAAGAATTAATCCAGTTATTAGAAAGAATTTTGAATTTAAATTGAAATTGAAAAAAAATGTCTCACAAATCTTTCAACTTAGTTCTTTTGTTTGTTGTAGTTAGGTTATTCGTGTCATTTTTAGGTTACTCGATTTTTTCAATAATGAAATTATCAAGTTCGCACCATTTTACAATCCCGATCAAATTAACCCACTTTGGTCAATTTTTTAAAGGGGACATCTCAAAGTCGACCGATTCTGAAAAATTTCAATTCATAGTTGAACAAAAAACTCAACTCTTAAAATCTTGGGGCAATTGTATTATTATTTTTTACTGTGGCCCTAAAAATGTGATTCATAGTTACAGTTGCAAAGTTTGAATAAACAAAATTAATAAAAATTAACTAACAACCAAAAAATGGTCATTATTTTTGAAAATATTAAATCATTTTAGCAATAAAATTTAGTTTAGCATTTTATTATATATAATATCTCCAAATGTATATGATTTATTTTTAGATTTACATCCCAAATTATCTGATAGAAATCTTCACGGGCATAAATTTACAGAAAATTTGTTGAATCTTATATTTAATTGAAGATAAAGGCAAAATCTCTACAAATTATTATAAAAGTATATTATGAGAGTTTCAATATTATTTTGGCAATATAAATTGTAAGTAAGTATATCAACATTTTTGTTAAAATAAATGTATAGACAACAAATTCACAACTTTTTTAACATTTTGAGACCATTCCAAAAATTAAAAGTTTGTATACAAGTATATTAACAAAAATAATTTTAAATTGATACTTTTATTACTAAATATTTGTACATGTTTTAAAAATTATAACTGGTATAAATATTAGTATACTATTATTTATACCAGTTATAATTTATATATATTAAGTGGTAAATCTCAAGAAAATCATATGGAGACATTTATATTATTAATACTTGAACAAATTTATATTTTTCATATAAGCATTTAATTATAATGATAAAGCAAACGAAATTATTAATAATTGTGCAATAATTGTTAAAATATATTGTATCTAATTTATTTTTATATTGATTATTTAACAGAGAACTTCAAGTACAAAAATTTGCAGCAAATTTCTTAAACTACATATAAATTTATATTTGAAGAAATATAATAAGATAAATTTATTACAATATCTATAAATTATCATCAGTATTTTGTATACAATTTAATTGCAAAATTTTTATATATTGATATTATATTTCATAGAGATCAAACACAAAATATTTTCGAGATTAATCCAAATATGTCCACAAATCCTCATTAAAACCTAAAGAATCATAATTTGATTATACATTTACTGTGTAGCCGTTCTAATTATATAAATATAGAGAAACCGATAGTTGCATTACAGATAAAAGTCGACTTGATTTGTGATTATTTTCCAACTAAAATTCTGTGCAACATTAATAAATTAGGTTAACAATCGAGAATAATTACCTCTTATGATATTTCTCCTGACTGATTGATAAAATCATAATAAACTTGAGTAAAGTGTTAGAATATAATTTAGTATATACAGGCAGTCATCTTAAAGTGCACAATTTATTTATATATTTATTATACATTTTATTTGCATTTAAAAGTGTGCGCTTCGTCATTTCCACAACAAGGTTATATTGTCTTGAATGAGTAGAGTAATCCAAATATCTCCACAAATCCTCCATTACACCCTAAACAATCATGATTTGATTATACATTCTGTGTAGTTATTCTTATTATTAATAATTATGCAAATATAGAGAAACCTTCAGTTGTCTTACTGTAGGGTCTAATATATACAAAATGTTTTCAGATGAATTAAGTAATTGTTAATATAGTCACTGTATTAATGTAACAGATTTCTGTACTATTGCAGGTAATTGAACACAATTCATCAATAAATACAGCATTTTTAATAAAAATGGTAGTTGAACTGACATGACATTTGACTGATAAGACTTGTGAAAAACAATTACACAAGTTTACACAAAGTTTATATAAATATTATTACAATAAAGTTTTAGCAGTTTATACTTACATTTTAATCGGTATTTATCATATCCTGATGTATTTATTGAAATATTTGCAGTTTTGATACGAACACAATAAAGAATAAGATGTTTCGCATAGTTTCAATTATGTGGCACACTTCACTGCTATTAGTTTACATGAATTTAATTTTGACGTTTAAAACTGAAAGAATAACAAAAATTTTGTGGTTATATATTTATACAAATTCAAATTTGTAAAAAAATGTGTGGAAATCGGTTGCCAAAATTGTATTGCAAAGTTATTGTGCCAAGCATATTGTTTTTAATCATTTTTACATAGTGTCATTGTGTGGTTTTAACGAATTTATTTAAAATTGCTTGTTTCTGTTTACTTTGAATCCATACAATTGATTGTTGTGCAGTGATTAATTACTAACGAATAGTGCTTAATTAGTGAGTTAATTACTAACGAATAGAGCTTAATTAGTGATTGTAATTAAGTTTTTTATAGTTTTCAACATATATATGAGGTTTTACTCATGAAGTTTGATTTAAATCCCAATAATTAACAAGTTTGAGACAGGGGTTATGTTTTCTTCCGGAGGCTCTTTCACCCACGGGAGCGCCTCCGCGAGTAGCCTCCAAGCAGCATATATAAGGCGGTGCTAATTAGCGCGCAGCTCATTAGTGCGTCAGCTCCCGAACAGTGAACATCTCGTAGTGCAAGTACAATAAGTGATCAAAATGAACAATAATTATTTTACAACCAAGTAGTGTTTATAAAGTGTTATAAAGTGTGTTCCGGTATGCAGTTTACACATATAAAAGGTAAGAACTTTTATTCTTTATAATTTTGCTTAATTATTAAGTTTTATTCGCACAACAAGTGACACCGTCTGGTACTGATTTGTGAACAATGTTTACATCTGTAAAAATATCGTAAGCGTGCTTTGTTGTTGATTTGCAATAAATTTATCACATATTATTTATTATTATTACACTTTTACATAATATTTATTGAGATTTTTGCGTTTTTTCGCTATTCAAATTTTGTGACATTTGCAAAATCCAAGATGGCGGCCATAATCACCAACGGTGGTTTTGTCCTGTTTTAAATAATATAACCGTTTTCACGGCGTATTATTGATGAAAATTCAATAAACTTTGACCTAATGTATCCATTTACATTAAAAAACTGCACCTGTACAGTTATTTTTTTGCAAAAAAGCAACGAAAAATTCTTCGGTATTGAACCAAAACAAAACGGCGTCAACTGTCAATTGACCAAAGTTTGAAACGCCTTTTTAACATTACAATCATATTTGCAACGCTAAAACCCAATATAAATCATTTGTATTTCACAAATTTGATTCATTTTCGTATAAAATTTCATATTGTTATTAATATTTATTATTTGCAAATTTTCTGCAAACTATTAACAAGTCATCTAGCGGCGCATTTGCAAAACAAGATGGCGTCCGTTGCTAACTTTAGTTCATCTGCAAACCAATGATAATTGATTTAAATACTTAAATTATTATTTATTCAATAATTATAAATACCTATTTATTCAATAATTATACTTATATTTTTTTACATATTATTTTCAAGTTACATAAAACAATAAATATAAAATGGAATTATTTCATATCATCTAGATGAAAATTTTTTTAAAATAAAGATATAATGACATAATTCCATCATCTATTTATTATTTTATATGACTTAATTAATATAAAATTATAATAAATATATAAATAGTTATTATTTTCCATCAAATCTAATGTTATATTTTTCATTATTTTCAGATTTTGATATGATCTTATCACTTTGATATGATCTTATCACTTCGAGCCCACATCACTTCTAGTTTGCAGAGAGATGCAGATTTTGCAGATATTTATAATATTGAAGAGAATGGGCGAAGATGCTGCAAAGGTAGGATTTTTTTTATTTTCAACTTATGGAAGTTATATTATTTATTTTTTCACTGAAATAAATAAATAATTTTCATAGCCTATGACGATGATTTTTATGTAGGGCTGATGTGCAATTATTTTCTTGTTTTTTTCTGGTTTTTGTCATTTTTTGGTTGGTTTCTTTTTGGCGTTTTTGGTTTTTATTTATTTCGATGTTGCAGAGAGTTCTTCATTCGATCGTGTGGCATTGTTACTTGTTGAATTTGTTTTATTTACATTGAAATAGCTAGGATATTTTTATTTAGTTTTTATCATTTTTATGTATATGCTTATGTATTTATTTATGTTTATATGTGTATATATATATATATATATGTATATATGTATGTATATATACACACATGTGTTTTCAGGTATTTAAAGATATACGATGAAAGGTTTTTGGGCATTTTTTGCAACAATTTAGAGAAT